TGGCATCAAAATAGACCTGAGGATCAATGGAATAGATTAGAAGACACTGAATCCCCTACGAACACACTCAGCCACATTATCTTTGACAAAGGGGCCAAACAACGTCACTGGAAGAAAGATAGCCTCTTTAACAGGTGGTGCTGGATAAACTGGCTCTGTACATGCCAAAAACTCAAACTTGACCCTGGTTTATCACCATGCACTAAACTAAAGTCGAAGTGGATTAAAGATCTAAACATTAAAGCAGGGATACTAAATCTCCTGGAAGAGAAAGTAGGAGGAACTCTTGAAGACATAGGGGTAGGCAAAGAGTTCATGGACAGAAATCAAATCGCATGGGTAACAGTTGTAAGAATTAACAACTGTGACCTGCTCTTACTGAGAAGTTTTTTCACGTCAAAAGAAATTACCAGCAAAGTGAAAAGACAACCCACAAATTTGGAAAAAATCATGAAAATAAGTACTCTGACAAAGGTCTGCTCTCTAGAATCTATAAAGTAATAAAAAACTCTAGGGCCCCAAAATTTAAAGACCCAATCCAGAAATGGGCATCTGAGATGAACACACACTTATCACAGGAAAAATTAAGCAAGCCAATAAATATATAAAAGAATTCTCCACATCACTAGCCATTTGTGAAATGCAAATGAAAACCACATTGAGATATCATCTCACCCCAGAAAGAATGGCTATCATAAACAAATCACCCAACAACAAATGTTGGAGAGGCTGTGGGGAAAAAGGAACCTTTCTCCACTGCTGGTGGGAATGTAGACTCGTGCAACTGTTATGGAAATCAGTATGGAGACTCCTTAGAAAAGTTGGTCTGGAAATCCCCTTTAAACAAGCTATTCCTCTACTGGGAATTTTCCCAGAGGATCTGAAAACATATCATAGGGATATATGTGTGCCTATGTTTACAGTAGCACAATTTGTGATAGCCAAATCTTGGAAACAACCAAGATGCCCATCACCTTAGGAATGGTTGAGAAAGATTTGGTATTTTTACACAATGGAGTATTATTCAGCTATTAAGAATGATAAACTGCAAGCCTTCATATTGAAGTGGTTGCCACTTGAAAATATACTCATAAGTGAAGTAAACCAGACAGACGTGTAAATATCGAATAGTCTCCCTAGTATAAGAACTCAAAAGAAGAAATACAAATAGAAAGATATAATACAAATAAAAGGAAAGAAGGATCTCAAGGACTAACTAATCAAGAGAGGAAAAGGAGAAGAGCTAGGAAACATGACAATGTCAAGCCATACAGTTATATGTAAAATATGAGCAAGGCAATGATCCTGAGAATATTCAGAAGTTTTTTTAATCTAGCAGTTAATTGGAAAGATTCTCACCCTGACTAACTATATATACTGATACCTGTGAACTAAGCTTCTGCACTGCAAATGGTAATTTCTAATAGTAGAGTCATGTTTGGAGTGCCTGTCATCCTGGTATTCTGAATATGGGTTGCTTGTTATTGCATGCCAGTTGCTGCTGTGATGACTCTCGAGTAGATGGATGTTCAAGAAGGGGGTGGTGAATGAAAGCAAGAGACAGGAAAA